GTTTCGTTTCATACAAATATATGGACAAAAAAGAAAAAGTAAGCATGCCTGTAGGAAAGAGATAGAATAAATAATATGACTGCTTCTGATAGTTAATGAAGAGAAAAAAAATAGCATTAAAATGCAGTGTAGTTTTGTTCCTGCACTTGAATCTGTGTCAGGACGATGAAAAATTCTGCTTCACAGCTGAATGCATTGCTTGTCGAATGAGCTGTTCAATAGGCACCTCAATTAAGTCAAAAGATTAATCGATATTAAAAAGTTTTATAACATTGTTTCGTTATAAGTATTCAGCATCGCTGACCTTCGGTTTCTTTCCAGGCTGCTCGACTTCAATTAAATTGTCTAATCATTCTGAACGAAAGAGTGTGCGATCAGTGGTCTTTATTATATTTGTCGTACTAATCAGAAGAATATTATCCAAATGTCTCATATCGTTGATTTAGGCCAGGAATTGAATAGTCACGCTATTGTGAACAATGTCGCATGCAAATGCGCTATCTATTAATCTCATCAGAGATAATAAGATGAAGTGGACTTTGCAAGTTAAATTTTTCTTGATCTCTAAAAGCATCTTCAAATAATGCTTCCAATTTAGTTTGTAACTCTTTCAGTAACTACTTGAACAGTTCTATTCTAACGACAACCTTTGATTCTACTTTAAGAATATTAGCTAATGTCTGTGCAATTCAAGTCTTTTCAGTATCCAATTCTCTATGAAGAAGAAAACCACAAGACTTTATAAGACCGTTTGGTCTAATAAACAACCTCTGATATAGTATCGAAAGAAACACATTATCGAAACCCCAAATCGTTCTTGATAGTTGAATTAATTATCAACGATGGAGCGTTGTTATAGAACTAATATAACATATTCGGAAGCGATTAGTAAATCAAATATATTATTGAATAAGTATTTTTGATGCTGATTGATACTTATATGACTTCCAATAAACAGTTTGCAATTAAATTGACTTAGGACAATAAATTTATGGTCAGTTTCGTCATCAAATTGAATGAAGTTTGTTACTAATAGCTTTAGCATGATCGAGTAGGATGAGAAAAAAAAGGTTTGATTGTCTCACTCACTTGCAAAAAAAAATGAAATCTACGTTGTCTGTTTAAAGATGGTCTAGGTATTTTTTTAATATTTTTTATGGATTGGTGAGAACAGTTTTCTTCGTCATGTTTTTTCTTTTACCCTGATTCGATAGATGACGAATATGACAAGAAAGTGCTGTATGTGCTAGAAATTGCAGGATGTTCTTTCTGAGTTATCTGCGATTATTAGTGTGAACATATTTCTCTACGCAGACTATTAAAGAATCATGCAAAGAGGATATGGGTGGATGTATCCGAGCCACAAACACATGCATATTCACAACTACCCTTAGAGTGTACATGATCATGAATGTTGGACGCCGAGCTTTTCAACACACTAAAATAAAAGTTTCAAGTTTGACCAGAGTTGTAGATCTTGAATCATTGAATCTAAGAAATATTTAATCAGCGAAATTCTATACACTTTTTAAAGATTTGAGAATTGTTTTTGAATTTTACTTACTGCTCACAAGGCTTATAAGCTGACTCCATTCACTGTCATCTAGAAATATGAGGAACTTTAGCCTTGTTCTAATAGCGAAAAACCGCGGATCAATAGATTTTCTCTTTGGAGAGTTATTCGAAAAACAACTATCCTTCTTTTATTTTGAAATGGATAATATTTTGAAGATATAGATGTGTATAGATTTTCTCTTCATCATCGTAAGTCTCTTGAACAGGTTAGTTTGCATCAATTTGGCTTCAACTGTTGCCTGTGACGCCGGTTGCTATCAAATTTTGAGACTGCCACAATGGTTTTCGAGAAGGATGCTGCATTGCGGCTTCCATTCTAGCTACTTGACCGACTGTAAACATTCTATAACATCCATATGCACCACTATAGTCCATATAATTTTCACTGTTCACGAGTTGTCCAAGACAATTGTTCACAGGTTGACAGCCTTGGTTTCCTACAGTTTGTGGTGTATCGCATACTCGATCTCCAGTTTGATCACATTGGCCTTCAACAGAGTTCACGCATCCGTGTTCGAATGTATGATAGAGATTAAGCCAATGAGCAAATTCATGAGTTAAAACCGATGAAAACTCGTCGTTTGTATTTCCATAAAGATAGCGTCCATTGTAAACGATGCGTGCTAAATTGGCATTAGACATTCCAGAATCTGGATACCAAGCAACACCAGAACTAGTTAATCCACCATTTCCATATATATCCAATTGAATATACACATTACAATATTTGTAATTATTCCATGCTTCTTTCTGTACATCACTATTGAAATTATTCGTTGCATATCCGTTTTTTGCTGGATGGTAAACGATTCCAGTTGTTGGACGTCCATTTGGATCCTTTCGAGCTAGCTTAAAGGTAACATCAAATGTTGACCTTCTTCCTTGAAAAGCTGTATGAACTGCATGGAAATCATTGTTCAATCCATGAAAATCCTCATTCACCTTTTCAAGTGCTTTCTTTATAATAGTGTCATTCACGCGACTTCCAGCAAAATCAGTACCATAAACATGAAAAACTACAGGAATAATATACGATTTGGGTGCTTGTCTCGTAGATACGAATCTTCTAGTGCTGATTTCGAATTGCTGATTTTCTTTCAAAGCATTTGCATTCTGATTATAATACTCTTGCATGACCTGATCAGTTTGACATGCAAGTGGTGGAAGAACTTGCCGATTGTCTTCTCTTTCACTGATCACTTCTGTAAATATTGTCAGCAAAAATAATATTGATGAGATGAGCACTTGCAACATAGCCATTGTCTAAAATTCACACATGTTAGAAGTATAAATCTATAAAATTTACATTGATTCTTTTAATATTCTAATGATTACTCATAGTCTCATCATGATAAAGACGAACTTTGAACTAGTCTATCGAATAGTACAAGTTGATGTACACTTACTTGATTGTCATTTAACTAAAACTCTTAATCATATTGACTTTAAAGGGAGGCCTTTATATATATTTTTTCTGCTTCAAAATTCTCATACAACAGTAGCTCTTGCCTCTAATAAGCAAAAGATAAGTCTTCTTGATGAGAGATCGTACAAATCCTATCGTGATGAATTTGGATATGAAAGAGGCAGGTTTATTCTAAACAAACACAACTAGTAAATTTAATAATCAGATTTTCTACTAATGACAAGTAAAATTGAAAAAGGTGCTCGTGATCCTGTCTGTTTGATTGCGCTTAGTAGTTCACTCTCAACATTTAAAAGAAACATCACAATTATGTTACTGAAGAAGGAAGTATGAACATCTCTGATTCTGCAATATCAAATACTTGGCTGCCTTACAATAATGATACTTACCTTAGATAGCCTTAATGCCTTTCGATTTAGAGTCTTATTTTCGAAAAATCGAGTTTAAATATATCTATTCGCTTATTACCATACAGATTAGTTGTTTAAGTCACAGCAGGTGTGTAATTTAATACGAAAAAAAAATATAATTCTTAAAGTCATTTGATTGGGGCAGCTATCTTAATCCCACACACATTTTTCGATGAATGCTTGATGCTTCTCCAATTTGATTTTAATATTTCGTTTTTGCTAACAGTCTTCCTATCGATTTGTTGTACTGTTACAACTATTATACGGTAGATTTTTGGAGAGAAACCATTTTATCTATCGCTAGAATCTTAAAAAAAATATTCGATGCATTTTTTTGAAGTCGCAAAGCACAAATTGAAGCTCCTGGTAGCTTGAACCATTTATATTGAGAATTAAAGGATGTTTAAATTCGACAAAGAACCGTTATAACGATATGGATCATTCAAGACATATTCAAAAATTGCTTGACGAATAGTTATTAGATTCACTCTACGATCTCGGATAGAGTCGTGACAATGCAAACTTATATTTACGAAAGTAGGTGTTGGCTTAAGTCTTCTATTACATGAAAAAAGAAACGAATATCAATTTCAATTTAAATGATTCGATAAAAACAAATCATAGCATTCTCAAATTTCGACCATAATTATCTCCTTAGCTAGATGAGTTTATTCTATACACTATGAAATTTTGTCTAAAAATCAGAAGATCAGCTTGAATAAAGTATTTTCGACGAAAACATATATAATCTCATCTCATACTACTGGAGAGACAAAGTTAAGATACTTGTCAGTCTTGTTCATGCCGTTTTGGAGAAATTGACAGATATTTTTAGATTGAGTGAAGTGACTTAGAAGAAGAGCGCCTTGTTGACGCTCACTCTAAATATTCAATTGGCATGTTTCATCAGAATTCAATGCTGGCATATGCTTAATTGTCACCATTCGATAGTACAGGGGTGAATTGGTATAATATTTTTGACAATCCATTTCTTTCACATAGTAGGATCACTTTCATTTAATCTAATGAGTTGTAGATTCCCATGGGTTCGGGTGTGAATACCG